GATACTTCGTCATGATGACATCAAGCGACGACGGATTTTGCCCTTCCCTCCAGCGCGTTGGTTGGTGGACGTGTTGCACAAAGTTTTTCTCACTGAATGCCTCTAGCAGTTGCTCACAAAAAGCTGAAGACCCACGTACCCATCCGGTGGCCCAGTCAATTTCTGGCGTGTATAATTTTCCTACTAGCAGTACGTTCATACCTGTAGAGAAGGGCTGTTGCAAGTAGTCATGGAATCTCGTGTTTTCGTCTTCAGTTCCTGAAGGACTACGGTAAGCACATAGGATAACGACGCTCGTGCTACGGGAAGTGATTACAACAGAGATAGCCTGGATGCATGAGGAGACAAATATTCTCTCCTGATGCTGTTGGAGGTGCTGTGCTAGTAGCAGTAGGACACCCCCTCCAATTCTGCCGTCTCCTCTGTCCTGTCTGTAGCTGATGTAACCTTGTGGGCAAAGTGGATCTGCGTTGAGTTGGTTATTTAGCCACGTCTCAGTGATTGCTATGCAGTCCACGCCCGCTGATTCTTCTTGCAGCTCTTTCCATTTGTTTCCGATGCTGCAAGCGTTGCTGTAGAAGACGAATAGCCCTTTAGCTTGCTGCACCCTCTTACTGTCCCTCTTGCTGCCGATGCACTCGGGTATATAATACCCGAGTGCTGCACCCGTTTTTTGGCTGCGTCGGGTGGTTTGCTGCATACGAGTGTTTAGACTCACCCTGACTGTAAGTGAGGTGTAGTCCTTGTGCTACTATTTCGTTCCATGAGCTATTCGTTCCCCGGTTCGTGTTGTTGTGTGTTATCGGTGATTGGCTACATCGACTGAGGCTGATTACAGGGGTTTGCGTTTGGGATAGCGGCGAGTTATGTGCAAATGCCCCCGTTGAGCGCGGACTCTTGATACTTGAATTGAGTAAAGAGAGCAAATCTACGGTAAACTTACAAATAACAATACAAAAAACCTATACGCTGATAAAAAACAACCAAAGACGAGACAACCTGAAATTCCACTACAAGTTCCAACGCGTTTCAGATCAGTTCGGTTCAGAGGGTGAAGAAACGGATGCCTATTCGAACCGCGAAGGAGCGATTCGATGGAAAACTAGTAAGTAGGGAGAGCAATCGGCCAGTGATGCCATAACTCTCTGGTTTGTACAGGAGAGGGATGTATGGCACTCTGTCGAAGACTTTTGCGAAGTCTATGAAGATCGCGTGCGAAATTTAACCTTAGTCGTAGGCATGGATTAAGCTATCCATTATGGTTAGCATATTGGAGATGCATGACCTGTTTGGTACGAAGCCGTGTTGGGAAGTGTGTACCAAGCCGTTCTCAGTTAGATGTCCCAGAATACACCGTTTAAGGAGGCGCTGGAAGATCTTACTGGGAATGCTGGTTAGGCTGATGGGCCTATGACTAGTAGGTAAGTGTCTATCGACTTCTTATAAATAGGGATAACAGTTGCCCTCTTCCAATGTTGTGAAAGGGTTCCTGTGTCCAAGCAACTTTGAAAGAGATGGGCATATGTGGCAG